AATTCGTCTACTGTGTAGGGATTTTTCTCATAAACTTTATTCATTATTTCGCCCCCGCCCCTGCAAAAAAATCCATTGGTGTTAAGTTGGGTGAACGTGGTGGCTATTCAAAGATTTCACGTTGTCCAATCCAACGTCGTGAGGAGTTTTGGTCAAGGTAATCCCTTATTGTCAAAGCTTAATGAAGAGGTGCACTATTTTCTTGGAAAAAAAAACAGTTTGGCGAAGTTAGTTCTGGTTCTGAATTGTGACACTGTGGTAGTAAAAAAGTAAAACGTCACATCATTATGTAAATAATTAAACAACTGAATACCTACTTTTATTTTACCTTGTATAGTAACACAACACATGCAAAGAACAGATTTAAAACTAACACTGTAAACTATTTTACTTTTGAAATGCATGACAAATTATTTTAATGCAGTCAGTTTATATAACCGATAAAATAACCGAATAGATTTGTGAGATAAATGGATGTAAACTTTTATTTACTTTAATGATTATATATATTTATATAACAAAACAAAATACTGACATCAGGAAATGAACCAATTATATTTACGGTAATTTCGCGCTGATTTCATATAAAACCTATGTACAGTTTGGTCCGAAATTCCAGTCATCCCCTACAAAAAAAAAAAAAAAAAAATGAAAGAAAGAAATTTATTTAAGTTAAGAATTAATATAAACTATTATGTGAATAATGAGACAGCATTGCTAAAAGAATTTAATATAAAAAACCGTTATTGATGTTTTTATACTGTATTGTATTGAAGCCTTTAGAGCTAAAACCCACCTTTTCACGTTCACGGAATTAAATCACTATCATTCCTAACGTATTTCATTTGTAAGAAATAAGTTCCACTCATTTTCATCCGAAGGAAAGTCACTTTTGTAACATACTCCCAAAAGGGTGTTTTCCTGAACACTATATTCTTTACCTCTACAAGTTTGGAGTGAATTGGTATATAATCTACGTGTCTTCGTAAATTTCACTCAATCACTGCATCCCCTCTCCTAATCAGTCTACTTTTCAAAATTTCTTATTTTATGTCCCGTATCCCTTTCGTCTTCTAAACTTTTATACTTCAACATATATATATATATATATATATATATATATATATATATATATATATATATATATATATATATATATATATATATATATATATATATATATATATATATATATATCGATCGATCGATCGATCACTGGGAGTGTTTCTAAAAATAAATACGCTAAAAAATTCAGTCAGGTTTCGATCCAAGCTAGAGGCAACCGGATGTCTAGTCACACTGTTGAGCTGCGAAACAGTCTGTCTGTGGATGACGTTATATATATATAATGAAAAACAGACCACTTTAAGGTACCATTACAATAATTTATTTCACCAAAATACTTTTTAAAGAACTCCGGATCATCAGGTAACAATTCCAACAACGAAAATTTTTTTTATTTATATTTATATTTATATATATATATATATATATATATCCGCATTATTATTTTTAATAATTGTTGGAGTTGATGGATTTAATGAAAGATTTGATGGAAACTGGCGAGCAATATTTTCGATGTATCTACAAAGAGTGGGAATTTTGCTTTTTACCTTTGCATAAATGTAAAATGTAACCCCCTCCCGCCACAAAAAATGGAAAGTCAGGAAAAGGATTTTTAAAAAATGCCCATGTTCATATTACACTTTATTCAGTAACACTTTGCCTTGAGTATCTCTTACGCCTTATATTGTGGGGACATAAGTAAAAAGAAAATATGCTTTTACGATTAAAATACACTGAAAATAAAAGAAAATTGAACATAGAATAAGCTGCGTTAGAAAAATTGAAAAGTTTCCCACCAACATCACAAGATTCGGCGAAGCCAAAACATTAACCTAAAAACTTGATTCATGTTCTTAAATAGCCTTGTCAGATCTGGACTCGGATGTCATGCATCGTGTCCAATTCATTTAGAAATGTTTAAACTACAGGCCGCATATAAACGTGCTCCTTGAAGTGAACTGTCCTTCGTCGGATCTCGGACACTGACGTTACAGAATAAGACACTTTACCAAATAAGAGAAACCACATCAATTGAAAACTTTCAACAGTAGCAACAACTGAAATAGATATCCCCTGCAAACTGAAAAAAAAAAGACGGAATCAATATGCTGAGTTGCCACTGTACCTTAAACAAAACAAAATGTTAGGAAGAAAACTACCATCAATACGAGAAAAAGCGATAAAAGTTCGTGAACTTGGGAAACCTATTTTCCTGAAAATATTTCACAGACTGTGTCCGAAATTAATGTTTGGTGTTTGGCAAAAAAATGCTGAATTTTACATTCTAAGGCATCAGATGATCTCATAAACATTAATGCTTCTGCAACAGATTTAAAAAAATGACATTTGAAATAAACATAAAATTAATATATATATATATATATATATATATATATATATATCAAAAATATAGTTTTAAGGTATGCTATACTCATGTGTTATGTACTCAATATCAATGATAGAGCGTATGTAAATATAAAAGTGTACACTGAAGTCAACACCCAAAGGCAACAGTCTGTTTCAGGTTAAACGCAATCGTCAAGCCTGACGATTGCGTTTAGCATGAAACAATGTCGCCTTTGGGTGTTGATTTCAATGCACACTATTATAAATACATACATACATATATGCATACATGCATACATATATATATATATATATATATATATATATATATATATATATATATATATACCCTCGTTGGCTGTTTTCGTCATTAATTTCCAGTATTCTTTTCAACATTTTTATTGTTTATTTGAAGTAGGATTCAATATATTTCTTTCTTTTTTTCACCTCTACACCAAATCGATTACATCCTCTACAGATTCAATTGATCCGGTTTTCGCTTGACTCTAACAGACCAAACAGTCACCTCGTTGACTTGATTCCAGGTTCAAATAACGTGTAATAATCTTTGTTAATGATTGCCTTGGGGAAATTGTTAATTGTCCTGACGCGTGACACCTGGTCATTTGTGGTCAGGCAGCGTAGCGACATGTCCACAGTTAATATAACATGATTGATTGCAGTCAGTGAATCATTCGTAACGAAACACGCAACGGTGACTGATCAGTGGATATAGGAGTATTTATTCTGAAGAACACAGTATCTATGAAAGATGTGCTTCTTTTAATTTCCCAACCTGTTCCAAAAGAGATATTAATTATTGCTGTCTCTTTTCTGTCCGTAGACGTGACAGAATCAGTTGTATAGTGTGGACTTTCGTGAATAGGATTTCACAGCTTCCAGTGCTGTTTTTCAGTCTTCAAACTCACAAAAATTAAATTCTTAGGAATCCCTTCTTAATCTGGCTGAAAAAATATCAGCAACGCCAACGCATATTAAAACGCTTGCCATACATACATACATACATACATGTGTATACTAATTCTTTATAATAGGACATGTATGTATGTAGTATGTATGTATGGAGAGAGAACATACGTATTCGTACGCGTGCTGGTAAAAACACAAAACATGGAAATAGATCTAAGAACACACAGGGATCATGAAAAGATAAGAATATAGATATCTTCCTCACCCTTTCTCGGACCAGTCTTAATTGTTTTATTACCCTTCACGCAGAACTTTTTCACTGCCAATTCAAGGAAGACATTTCGGTCACTAACACACAAAAAGAGAAGCTCTAATATCTAGAATATTTAACATCGAAAAACATGAGAAAAATTAATTCCTTTTAATAATATATGGAAATATCCACTCTTTGCCTGAAGAAGGTACCCGTGTAGCAAAATTATGGAAAATAAAGCATAATATATTTTTTTTTTAAATCCACATTACAACCAAAAACATTTCCAGTTTCTCTCTCCTTTTTAATATACACACTTTTCTCTCGTTGGAACTACTATAATCTCTTCTCTTTATATATATATATATATATATATATATATATAGATAGATAGATATAGATAGATAGATAGATAGATAGATAGATGTCTGAAAAGTGACGGGGCTGCTTGAACAATTTATTTAAACTACATGGTTTCCCCTTCAAAGTAATCCTCCCCTCCACTTTCGAGTTTAATGCACTTTTCCATACTTCTCAGCCACGCCTCTATGCACTTGATGAAAGGATTCGTCTTGGAGACCAAACAATTTTTCTTGTCAGAATCCATCTTGCACATTTATAAATCTGCCATTCGTCCCTATATTGAATTCTGCTACCATATCTGGTCTGATGCTTCCACTATATATCTAGAGGTTCTATACAAAACTCAAAGAACGGTGTATAATGTAATCAATCCTAACCTGTCATTTCGACTTCAGTCAATTTCTCTCTGTCCTTTCAACAAGTATTTTCATGATAATTGTTTTCCTGAGCTTTCCTTCTTCGTACCTTGACTGCACGAAGTTAAGCGCATTACTAGATTGTCAATTAGGTCTCACCATTTTACTGTTGAACTAGCTAGATGCAACCGTCTGTTCTATTCTAATAGTTTCTTTTCTTGCACTTCTCGCCTGTGGAATCCATCTTCCTTCCCTGCCACCTACAATCTCCAAACATTACAATACAACTTCATTAGCCATCTTTTTTTTCATCTCGAAGCCTGTTCTTTATTGCCCTTTTTCTCAGTTTCCGTCTTAATGGTATTATCTCCTTACTTGGGATAAAATAATTTAAAAAAATAAAATACAGAAAAAGAATTGTATCGTCCATGTTATTCTCAACATCTTCCTGTAGAAGCACATTTTCTATCGCCTCAAGTCCGATTTCTGTCGGAGATTGTCCAGCACTCACTGCCGATATGGAAGGACCGATATGACATCACAGTTCATTACTGTTTTCTTTGTTTCCGACGAAATGTTACTGTTTCTTAATAATTAATACATGCTATCCCAATCCACCTTCGGATTTCTGTGTTACATTTTCCGTCCTCTGTTAAAACAATTTGGATCGAATATTATATGGACGTTTACGACCACATCATGATGGAAGACCGCTTCCCGTACGAACACCGAATTTAAACAACGTTGAACCTGGTCATTACCTAGATGTGCGACCGCTTGGGAATATCAGATGCCGTAAGCTTGGATATGCGGTCGGTGTAATGGATAATGTCGCGGAATTGTTAATCGGAGAGCTGAGTTCCAATTCCCGTTGGTTCGTTATATTCAGTTACGCAAAATACGCCTAGGAAAGGTATGAATACGCCTCTTCTCCCCCCAGCTACGGGATAATTAGTAAAAACCGTATCACTAAACCAAAATCAACAAAAAAAAATCTTAGAATCTAAAAATATTTTCTGGCTTTAAATGACCTGCAAAGGGTTGATAAGCCATAAAAAACGAATCAATCAATAAATTGAGAAAACTATTTACCTAAACATATGTTTTTAGAGAATGAGTTGATAAATTTCAAAAGACTGATTTATTTGAACCAATCTCCTCATTTGGTTATTATAGCCAAATCGTTTTGGTCGTTTTAAACGAATCAATCAATAAAGCACATATTGATTAGCTACACAGGCATGTCTTTTAGATTTATTTACATTCTCTGGAATATACAAACTAATGCAGCCACTAAGTGAGGGATCATTTTTTACATTGATTGTAATATAGAATTGATCCCCACTTTAGAGTCTGTCTATATTTCTGAGATGAGGTATTATGTACATTATTTACATTTCAGGGTTTAGTTCGACATTCTAACCACCTGAAGAAAGCCGGAGCGTACAACGGCCTAAACGTTGTGATAAATATTGCGAGAAAGATGAGGACAATAGTCCGAATAATGTAAATAATGATCCCCACTTTATATCAACATATATATAACTACTTGTTCGTTTATCAAATTCTAATTAGGTATAAATCACCCCTTCTCCCCACAGCTATGGGTTAATTAGTAATACTTGTATCACTAAAACCATTATTGTCGCCAAAAAGAAAACTTCTTATAATCTCAAAATATTTTCTGGCTTTAAATAACCTGCAAAGGGTTGATAAACCGTAGAAAACGAATCAATCAATCAAAACAAATAAAAGAAGATTGTAATCGTGCAAAACCCTACTTACAACAGCAGTAAATGTCTGACCTCTACTCCATTCGATAACGTCTATACGTAAGAGCTTCTGTCAGGTGAAGGAACACTTATGAAATACATCGGCATTTACTTGACGAGACTTTGCAAACAGACACGTCCTTTATTATACAGTAACTTGATTATTCATTATTGCCAACAACTGAAATTGATCCAACTGGTTAAGTCGCGTCTTTGAACATTTGACAAGATGCATTTCTGTTGTTTCGCAATAATTTGCATAGACATGAATAGCATATCAATGTAAAGATTTGTTACGAACAACACTGATACCAACTAAGTCAACAGAGACACTTTGAAAGATATTTTCATGATTAGGATCCGTTCCCTGTATATATTAGCCATTAGGTAAATGTTGACTTAACAAAGTGAGCTGCAGATCAAGAATCGAATCAAAATATCTAAGATCTGCTTCTCTAAATAAATTTTGTAATTATTGATCATCTATTAAACCAGAGACTCTCTTTTATTTCTCTTCCTTTCCCAGCGACCTCCATTTAAAATATCTTTGAAGTTTAAAACTCGCACTGAATTTAGCAAATAAAATGTTAACTAAAATGTATGAAAAGTTAAGCAATTTCGATCAAGTTCAAAATTTTCTCCCAAGCGTCATCAGGTTCAGAATATTCCCCAGAAATATATTTAAGAAAATATATTAAATAACCAAATAAATCAAGCAAATATTAAGTACAAGCCTAAAAAAAGCCGATGTTATTGAACAGAAATACACAACTGCTATTAATATTCAATTAATAAGGTACTGTGAAAGCTGGTTAAAACTGGAAGTGAATTGTTTCAAATCCAAAGAAGCTCCGAAATGCGTAAATTATGAAAGGTACAATGTTAGGTTTGCCTGAAGATATATGAAAAAGCATGGGCTTCATACAAAAATACAGCAATATCAGAACGGAGTCTTTCTTTAATGGGCTTGACACTTCTTTAAAATATATTTCTATGCTACCAGGTAGTTAATATACAGCATAAAAATGCCTTGAATACAAAAGAAAATATAATGTATTATATAATAAAACATATAATAAAAAACTATAATGTATAAAACATTAAAATATTGAACCTGGTTCAGGATTTTTCCCAAAATATATATTAACGAATATATATTAAATAACCCCAATGTATCAAGCAAATAATATATTAAGTACACCAAACGTAAATGCAGCCGATGTTATATTTGTAAAGAAGTAATGGATTTTTATTTATTTTATCACTTATTTTTAGTGGGTACCCGTATATTTGAGTAGATGTTCCATTTACTTTTTAAACATTTATTGAATTTTTAAAAAAGTCTGTAATAATTTAAATATGAAAAAATAATTCAATATCATTTATTTATTTTCATTTGTTAGACTTTAAATTATGTCACTTAGCATCCTCCATAGTTTATCTAATTTCAACTCCCTTAATCGCTATCAATAACTGATTATTATTACGAACGTTATATGAGGCGAGCTGAAATTCTCATTGGCTGACTATGAAGCTGTGAAATCTGGCTTGCATTAATTTCAAATCTTCTTATTAATAACTGCATTATTTCTTTCCAGGTAATCGTATGTCTTACTGTTCAAAGAAGACTTAAAATGTATCAAGTAGCAACTTCTCTTGAAAATGAACATTGTGGTATCATCAAATACCGGCAAAAAATGATTTAGCCCCGAAAGACATTGATACAGACATGGTTACTATATTAGGAAATAACGTCACAGCTTTATCAGCAGTGCAAAAGTAGGCAGCGAAATTTAGGAGGGTAAGGGCGAGTCTTGAAGATGACCCAAGGCCTAGATGTCCCGCGATTGACAACACCGAGGTAAACATTGATTGTGTCCAAAACAAGGTGATGGATGACAGATGATTAACTATATATCAAATAGCCAATGCTATTATCATATCCTGTGAGTGAGATGAGAATATTCTGCACAATGAACTTGCCATGACGAAGGTTTCTGCTCAGTATGTTCCATGTTTTCTGACACCTGATCAAAAAGCGCACCAGACTGACCACATCACGGAAAAAATCTGACATTCTTTGAAGCAGATCCAGCTGGTTTCTTTTGAGGATTTGCTCACTCAAGACGAGTGTCGGGCTCATCACTTTGAGCCAGAGACAGTGACGACCCATGCAGTGGAAGCAACTCTCCACACTTGACCCAAACTAGGCCAATGTCGTTTCATCTGCAGCTAAGGTGAAATGCAAAAGGCATTGCGCTTATTTACTATCTTCAAAAGCGCCATACCATCAATGGTATGCCAACTTGCTGAGTCAAACACCAGGTGAAGAGCATATTTTCCATTCCGGGATCATCCTGATTCTAAAAAGGTATAATATTTTCTGTGTAGAGCCAGTGTGGAATGAATTAGAGGACAGACAAACATAATTTGCTGTTTATTTATTCAGAGTGCGATGGATAAATTGTCGTCTACGTTATGCACCTCATTTTATCCGATATATTTACCAAAATTACACAAAAATATTTTGAAATACTAAAGGATTAATGTATTCAATAAAATCGCCATTCGCTTCAATTACGGCCTCCAGACGGCCGCAGAATTTCCTGCAGCTCTTCGGCATCGTCTCCTTCATTAAGTTGGTTAATGCTGTCATAAACCTCGTCTTCAGGCCCTGTTTGGTGTTACAAGGAGTTTAACTGATCTCTCGCTGAATTGCTCCCCACACATAATAATCAAGGAGGTTGCAATCTGGGGGAGTTAGGGGGCCAGATGTAAGGGGTGATGTCGTTACAGAAATTACCTGACAGTCATAACTAGGTACTCCTGCTTGAGTGGCATGATGCGGAATCCTTTTGCCAGATATAGGATATCCCAGCAGCCACCCTTTTGACCCAGGGCAGCACTACATCCTCATGTCACTTGATGTACGCCTCCGTGTTGAGTCTGAGGCCCTGTGGGAAGATGAATGGAGGCATAACGTCGCCATCACTAGTGATTACTCTAAAAACCTTCGTAATGAGCAGTTGACACATCCAACTTTTTCCAAATCCTCTGCACTATCCGCAAATTGACACCCAAACAATCTGAAATGCTCGTGTTGCTATTTTCTGGCGCGAATGCCAAGCAGTACAGTACGCCGTTTCCAAATTTCTCTCGGAGTGTATTGTGTCATGGTGCACTTTTTCTCACAGACGGTGCCCAACTGACCCTATTATGCTGTATAGTCGATGGGCATCTAGAGGCGGTGAATAGCTAGCAAGCTCGTCTTGCCAGAACAATTACGGCCGAGTAGTGAGTTCGATCCTAACTGGGTGTCTCTACTTCCGGCCTTGGGTCACATCTAAGCTACGCTTGGAAAATTGCTATACTGTACAGTCGACAAAATAAAAAGATAACGTGGATGCACGAAATTAAAATGATAAAATCGCGACGATTTAGCCATCGCACCATATATATATATATATATATATATATATATATATATACACACAAATATAGATAACTATACTCGTTTCGAAAAACCCTCGAGTTTTTGATTTGCCAATAATCAAATCAATCTCGTGGGGAAAAAGGTTTTAAAAAAAGAAAGAGCTAGAAACATGAAAGTCTGTTGAAAAAAATCGCACAGATGCAGGTTTGAAGCCCAAAGAAAAAACCCCGACACGAGTAAACAATTAACTAACAAAAGAGCTCAATACAACCGTAGAGCAGACCTAGATAAACCTAGTGAGCCAGACAAACCTACCTGACGATCCGTTTAGGTGAAACCTAGGTAGGTTTGTCTGGCTCACTAGGTTATATATATATATATATATATATCAGTAGTCAATGTTGATGTTGATGATGATGATGATGATGATGATGATGATAACAGCAATGTAATTCATAGTACTTCCTCATCATTATTTCGTTTCTATTCACATAATGACTGACCATAGTTCTCCCACACTTCCTGTTTCATATAGCTCTAATAATTATTGTTTGAAGCTTAACTACCACAACTTGTTCAATCATCGATTTAAACA